GTGTGTGTGTGTGTGTGTGTGTGTGTGTGTGTGTGTGCGTGCGTGCGTGCGTGCGTGCGTGCGTGCGTGCGTGTGTGTGTATGTGTGTGCATGTATGCATGCCCGTCCGTCCGTCCGTCCGTCCGTCCGTCCGTCCGTCCGTCCGTCCGTCTCTCTCTCTCTCTCTCTCTCTTTCTTTCTATATCTTTCTCACTCGCTCTCTCTCTCCCTCTCTCTTCTCTCTCTCTCTTTCTCTTTCCCTGCTCTCTCGCTCGCATGTCTGGCTGCGGTAACAAGGTATTATAAAGAGCGTACAAAGAAGGCGCTTCTTATTACGCCCTTGGTATTATGTATGAGTCATGATCATGATCATGATGACTCCGCACATGACGGCAGTTTATTGCCCCTCGTTATATGACACTGGGTCACTGCGCGTGTGCGCGTGTGCGCGAACGAGCGTGCGTACATGCGTGTGTGTGTGTGCGCGTGCGTGCGTGCGTGCCTGTGTGTGTATGTGTGTGCGTGTATGCATGCGTGTGACAGTGACGCATTAATAGTTGAGGCAGCAGGGCCCGACTGCCACTCAGCCCAGATATCACTGGCACTCTCATATACTAGGGGAGGGGAGGTCATGCTGTTGTTTTGAAACAAGCCGGAGATGTTATGACTATTTAGAATCGTTTAAGTACACGTAGATTGTTTTAAGTTAATCGACCTTGCTGAACACTTGTCCGACAGACACGCGTCAGACTTACCATCGCAATCACCCGTGGACGTCTCAACCCCACCCTCATACACGTTCGCACACACGCACGGGTGAACGCACGTACGCACGCACGCACGCACGCACGCAACCCTCCTAGTCACACAGCTCCACCCGTTTACTCACCCGAGTCGTCATGGCAGCCAAAGAGATTTTCGGGGCCGGATAGTACGCTCAGACCCCAGTAGGTGTCGCTCCTTGCGCGCGTCACCATGTTTATGGCCGAAGATATCGCCGGACACTGCCGAGAACTGACGGTCTGGCTCTCCCCTGAGATCTCCCCCGAACGCGGCGGTAGTGACGCGCAGACGGGGCCGCAGGTCGCTCCGGCGCCGTCAGCAGTCGAATCACAGATAGCTTACACGGAATCACAGACGTGTTATGGGTCGCCTGCCGGCGATTTAGCATCGGAAAGCGCTAATCAAAATGCGCCCGCTAGATGTCGCCACGAGCGGCGGCGCGTACTTGTTGCCGGGCAACCTGCGCGACGCGTCTCTGCGTGAGTTTCGGCGCATCGCTCGTTCATTGCTGGTCCCCCTCGCAACCGTCTCCTCGTGAACACCGCGCGGTCTAGACTGCAGCTGGGCAGCTAAGTGATGCAGCGAACGATGCGCGAAATCGACGTCGTCGTAAGTCTAAGGACGCCACGTGGTCATCGACCGTGGGGCTGCCTGATGTGTCGTTGCTAGCGCGGTAGCTACCGGTAGCAGCTGCGCAGAGAATTATCACGGCAACGAATAACGAGGATGAGGACGAGGATGATGATGCTCTGCCTCAGTACCAGCAGCTCCGTGACTCATCACTCCATCCACCGGGCTCTCTCCCGGGTCGGCAGAAAGCCGCGCACTTTTTTATAGACTTCCGCCTCGGCGCGCGCTCGCCGCAGCTTCAGGCTACACGGCAAAAATGAGTGGCGCCAGTCTACGCGGCAGGCCGGTATGAATGGAAATTCCCAAGTTCGCGAATTTACGAGTTTCGGTATCAGCTGTGGAATTTTTGCGTTTCCATGACGACCGCGGTTCAGCCTCCTAAAAGTTTGAAAAAGTCACTAGGGAGCGATTAGAATGAACGGCACGTTGTGTAGACGCGGCGAATAGGTGTCCTTGAAACACGCGCCCATTATAGAGAGTAACAGGCAAAAGGAGATACATCACCACCTGCCGTGCGTTACCTAGGTAACGCTATAGGTAACGCTAATTAGTGCTGTCGTGAGTTGCTATGTAGGGATTCAACTGAAATTAGTGGCTATTGAAAAACAACCTCTCCCCTTTCACTCATTAATTCATTACTTACAAATTATCTTCTCATTCATTCACTGACTTAGAAGAAATTGCCTAATCAATCGCACTAACAGACAATACGGCCACATGGGCAGGTAAATGTTCATATTGTGGTGAGCCTTCTGCGCCACCGTAACATTTACGTGCTAAAATACCCAATTACAACAACTACCCAACGCTACCGCACATGTAGACATAGCTAGTACAGGTAAACTATAATTAATGCCACCGTACAGGTGCGTTGCAATTAACGCTGTCGTACACGTGCACTATAATTAGCAAGCAAGCAAGAAGGTAGGCTGGTAGGTAGCTAGGTGGGCACGCCTACAAACTTTCACTGACCGCCTTCTATGCATCTGTCTGTGCCGGCTACACGGGGCAGGTATATCTCTAGTACTATGGCCCGCGTTCATTAACTGCCGCAGGGCTATAGAACATTTTCAGCTAAATTTCGTAACTGCAACCTGTTACCACCTGTCCCCCCGAAAAATGGATCGCAAAAGGCAAAATTATCGGGCTTATTTATCTACATGGACATCTCACCTATCTTTTTGAACACTTTCCATAACTTTACACCATGTGTTTATCCATTTATTCCTAAAAGTGCCCGCACTACTTGCAAATTTCGTTTGAAATGGAACCCAGCGGCAGTTAAAGATCGCGGGCTATAGTACTAGAGCTAGGGCAGGTAATGACCATCTCCCTGCGACCAGCGTCGCGAAAGTGTGCAACCAAACCGCGGTCCCCTCGAAAACTGCTGCGCAACTTTCATGATTGCCACCGGAGGGCGGCAGTGTCGGAGAGATCACACCGAGGCAAACGTATAGCCACGCGATTTTTGCACAGGAGAGACATTACTCCCT